CCAGAGCCCTGACTTAAACCCCATTGAGCATCTCTGGAGAGACCTGAAAATGGCTGCTCACCAACGTTTACCATCCAACCTGACAGCACTGGAGAGGATCTGCAAGGAGGAATGGCAGAGGATCCCCAAATGCAGGTGTGAAAAACTTGTTGCATCATTCCCAAAAAGACTCATGGCTGTATTAGCTCAAAAGGGTGCTTCTACTAAATACTGAGCAAAGGGTCTGAATACTTATGACCATGTGATATTTCAGTTTTTCTTTTTTAATAAATCTGCAAAAATGTCAAATTCTGTGTTTTTCTGTCAATATGGGGTGCTGTGTGTACATTAATGAGGAAAAAAATGAACTTAAATGATTTTAGCATATGGCTGCAATGTAACAAAGAGTGAAAAATTTAAGGGGGTCTGAATACTTTCTGTACCCACTGTATAAGCTCACTTCAAGTATCTGTTAAGTATCTGTTCTACTGCTAAATAACACAATATATCATATCATATCATGAACTAAATGGCTTGTGGCTATTTAAAGTAGAGCTTCCCAAACCTTTTCATGCCCCTGAACCCTCAGATGTATCTACAAATGCCCACACCACATCTGAGATTCTGTCCTTAAACAACCTAATCCTGGTGTTAGACCATTGGCGTGGGTGCTGGGAAACCCATGAACCCACTAGAAGCATTTCTACAATTCCATCCTTAATCACTTTCAGGTTGAATTGAAGAAACTGCGTTGCTTCTTAATGAATTAATTAAAACCACACAACTGAAGACCATTGTTGCCAGCGGTTGAACCTAGTGGAAACCGAGAACAAAACAATTCGGTGCAACAAATGACCAAAGCCCATTCACTTATTTAGCCAATTTGTTTTTAACCCAGAGCGGATCATTTGATATTTGTTAAGGGGGAAAAAAGGATAAACTCGCCTCGGTGCTCAGAGCGGATGGAGAGACAAGGATGCAAACACACAACCCGAGTACAACACCCTGAAACCAATTGTCCGCTCGGCACGTTTCTCCCATAGCAGCATGCGATCTCTTTCATGCAAGCCAAAATAAAGTTCTCTGTAGTTTTACTTACAGCGAGTGGTGGTGTGGAACTCTGCATCCAACTGTGCGTGCAGCTCATCCAGTCCTTCACCTGTGCGTCCTCGGCGCTGCTTTCACGTCCCTTTTTATAAGGCCACGGTTGTTCGACTCCGGCTCCCGAGCTCTGAGAATAGCGGTCTGTGTAATACGAGGATTAAAAAAACCATTCGAAATAACGATGCCATCCTGCTGCTGTGAGAGTAGATGGGTCGATAGCGCCACCTGCCTGACGACCGATGCATTGCTGCAAGGACAGAGCACCATAATTATAGTGGGGGAAGTAGGCAATATTATACTGTAAATGTAAAACGGTGCATTATAAGTAAAGGTCTATAGGTAAAAATTCAAACAAAATTAGAAAATGTTGTTTGATAAAAATTTATATGCGGGGGTTTGACCAAAATAACTTCTGAAATGTTTAATACATCCCTTTTATGAAAACAAAACTCAATTACAGACTTGTTTTCTGAAGTTTGTGAAGCCCAAAAAGCACCAAATACCAAGAATGACCAATAAAACAACATGAAATGTAATTACACAACAAATACATCTTCCTCAACGTTGTACTAAAGTACAGCACTTGAGTAAATCTAGGTTACTCAGTTACTTTCCACCACAACAAAACAAATAACAGTTAAAGGACAGCCCGCTAATATAAACAATGGTATTTTTATGGACTAGGTCTATAGTTTCAGGTAAAATAAATCACTATATTCTGAAATATTTTCTTTAAATCTTTGAAGAGTAGACTACAGACACGCACTGCTTTTAATCTGAGATGAATTTCATTTGATTCAACCATTATTTTAAAAGTGCCCTTGCTGTTTACCGTGGCATCCTGTGGGTGTCGCTGTAACACTTCATTCTGCCCCTCATAACTATAGGCTTGATGATATTCTCAGTCATAATATGGGCTGCAACCAGGAAAGGATCATTGCTGGATATATATACAGTCCCATTATATGGGTATATGTATATAAATATATTTAGTATTTGTTAACGCATGCTCCTCTAACATTCACCATTATTCATTTTCCACTTAGAGAATCTAATATTTTAGATATATTATTTTCATTAGAAGCAGATTCAGTGAGGCAACACCAGCTGTAACCTGCAGGTTTGGTTTACTTTAACACAGGGGCCCCTGGGCACCCAAACTTCTAGGAGCAAAATCTAGCGGTGATGTACGTTGTGTTTCAGTCTGAAGTTGTTTTTCATTTGTTTTTAGTCATGTGGTGTTAATTTTTTGCTTTCTTTGTATCTCTTTAGTCATTTTGCACCTGTTTTAGTTGTTTTGTGCCTAATTCTTTTCTCGTGTCTCTCCTGCATATTTTTGTAATTGTTTTGCTGTCTTTAAGGTCTCCTCCGTCTTTTTTTTTTTGTCATTTTGTGTTTCTCTTTAGCTGTTTTGTTTGTAGTTGTTTCCAGTATCACTGATGATGGATGACAGTAGCTAGCTAACCGTTAGCTAGCTAGCTAACCTTTATCCGTCAGCATTATGACGAACACCCGTATTTGTCACACTAGGACAGGCAACTAGCAGGTTAGCTCAGCTATCTAGTCATATTTAATTTGTTCATTGTTCTTATGAGGGTGAACCTGGCTACCCGTAGAACTTAAGTGTTTTAAAGTGAGGTAGCTTAGAGTTTGAAAACGTTTTTAAAAAAGCGGACCACCAAACAGTGAGACATTCTGTTAAGTGAAGTGGAAAAAACAAAATGCAACGTAATCATGTGTGCTTAAAGAAAAGTTAAATACTTTTTTTTTTTTTTTTTTTTACATAAAGGCTGCTGATTTCCGGTGTTGCGGACAAATGTTCACTGGGTCGTGAACTATCTTGACAGTGAGGCGCTGCCTCTTCGGTTGTTTTAGCAGAGGCTCCCTCACTGTCCCCGGTCAGAACGCACACTGGAGTCACGGCAGTGACGACGGAGCGTCTGTCAACAGGGTAAGAGCATGTCCTCTGACCGTAAACAGTACTCAGCTATGAGGGTTTTAGTAAGTCATTAGCTTAGATAATCTTCTTGGGGACTGACAACATCCCATGTGCTCAGTTGTACGCTGAGGTTAATTTCTACAGGCGTGTGCGCTGCAGCTGACGTGACAGTGACAAATGTTTTCCTAACGACATTTCTGAACAAACTACTGCATTTCTGTGATTATGTTTCTTATGAAACAACCTTTCATGAAATTGAATGTGTTTTAATCGCCTCAGGAAATCAATGCAATATCCTGTTGAGGTTTTAGTGCTGTAAATAAGTTGTCATTTTAAGATACGTGGATCGTCACAATATGTTAGCACTACTTTTTCAGGATATAAATTATTTTAATAGCTTCCTTTCAGCAAGTGTCTTCTCTAACTCAGGAGGATTTTTCACACCCATTAGGTTTCCCCAGAAGAGCTTCATATGAACCTAAGGTACTTTCACTGAGTCATACTGTAAAGCCAACATCAAATTACCCTCCTGGCAGACTAACATTTCAATCGTTTTCAGAGATCTGTAAGGTATTTTAGCCTCCAGGCTGTATAAATCCACCAGCTCTAACCAAAACCACAGCTTAGCTAAAATTACGCAGAAGCCACAAAACATTCTCATGTTTGCTTTGCTTGATTTAATAGTAGCAGAGACCTAAATGTCTAAATATTGGCTTGGATCGTTGTGAGCTCATTTATCTTATGGAGTCTTGGAGAGGAGACTGTAAGCAAGTGTATGAGAGAGATTATCAAATGAGCAAACATTAACTTTGTACATACACACCAGGCCAGAAAATCAGTAGCAGATGGCAACACATGCCTTCCAAATCTTATGGTTAAGGAAATAAAGCAATTAAAGTAGAAACGAAAGTGAGTACCGTTTTTTGGGATGTTTATTTAAATGCTGAAATTGGTGCCACTTCCACAGAGTAGTTGACTGAATGCTATAAAGTCAGGTTATTCTGGCTCTGCTTTATTGTACATGTTTGGAACACAAACTGTAACCGTAGGGACAGTTTAATAAGATTATAAGGCTCTGGATTTGCAATAATTCTTCTTGGTTTACTGTGCAGTTATTCATTACCTAGGTATGATTATGAGTGTGTTGCAGGGTGCCATAACAACCGCAGGAACAGGTAATCTCCTGTTATCTGTCTGCATCTTGGCTGAAGAACTCAAAAAGGCAAAGTAGGAGCTCTTTAAATTACATCTGTGATACCAAAAAATTAACCTACAACTATTTAGAGATGTATCATTATACACAAACACATTGTGTGATGTTTACTATACTCTGCATGCCTAGTTGGGCTGATTATGCATAAAGCTTTGTTTGCAGTAGATATACAGCATGACTGTCACACAAGACCTGGCAGCTTTACATGTACTGTACTGTTCAGAGTACTTGAAACGTGCACACAAGAATAACTTAGTTTGAAGAATTTCAAAGCTCCAGCCTGTATGTTATTAACCGTGGGAGAGAAATTCAAGCTCTTTAAAGATAGTTTTTAAAGTAACAGTGCACATGCATGACTAAAAATAATCCAAGTTTTATGATTCTTGTAAAAGTCCCTTGGCTCAGACTAACATCTTACTGCAGAGCAGGGAAAGGCTTGGGAAAGTGGCTTTATTTTGATTAACACGTTACTATCAGGGTGTGCCCCCCCCCCAAAAGGAAACATCTTTGCCCTGTGAAAAGAAAGACAACTCCAGTGGTGTCTTGACGTCACAGGTCAGGAGCTTAAACCTGAGACAGCTTTGTCTTTATCTGTCGCCTTCAGGCAGAAACGCAGGGCTGAACACGAGATAAGGTGAAAGAGCTGTTGTGGCTAGCATCTGCGTGTTGAGTCATCATCTAAATCCATGTGCTTAATTTGATATGTGAACATACACGTACAGGTCATGGGGAGTAATACATGGCAGCTTATGTCACCCTGGTAAATGACCTCGGACATAAGAGAGTTGCTGTTTGTGCAGCCAGTTTCCTTCAGGTGAGACAGTATGGAATCAGATGAAAGTGTTTGTACAGCTCTTGTCTAATCAAAGTGTAGTCACATTTACATCTCTCACCATGGTATTTCCTGTAATGTTTCCCCAACCACTGCCACATCCTTTATGATTCAGAGAAAGGGTTACCGATAGACTTAGGCCTGAAGAGGAAGGTTTTTTGTTTGTGCTGTAGATGTGGTCTGTGGGTTATCTCTGTGTAAGGTTAAAAGCACAGTATTGGATGAAACTGAAAAGCAGATGTTAGATTCAACACAAACATGCCTTCAATCACAGAGGTCAAGTCACTTGCTTCAGAGAATATGAGGCTTAAATTGTACCTTTTTGTCATGTACTCTTTAATTGCTGATCTTCTGTGGCCTGACACCACATCTAGACTTATCATCGGAAGTGGGAAGTAACAAAGTACAAATACTTTGTCGCTGTACTTAAGTAGATTTTTCAGGTATCTGTACCCTGACTATTCATTTTTCTGATAACTTTGTTTTGTTCCCAACATTTTGACACAAATATCTGTACTTTTTATTCTTTACATTTGAAATCAGGCGCGTTACTTTTAGAGATTATTTTTATCTATCACTTGCTGCAGAATGGGCTGTATCTTTACTTCTACATAATGAAGGAATGATAGTTTACCGAGTTGCCTTTCTTGAAATGTGTTTACTGCCAGCTTATGTCCAGCCCCCCTGTAAATCACCTGTAGTCTTTTTGCTTCCACTGTCTTGTCAGCTTCACTTTTTAGACTATTCTGCTTTTTTCTTTGATAAATTCTTATCCCGTTCTTATTGTCATGTCCATACAGCACCCAAACACAAACATACTCAGTGGAATGACCCTGTGCTACAAATAATTGTCTGGTTTGAAGGATCAGCAACAAATTACTGATGCATGTTTGTGGTTTGCAGCCTCACTCAAAGGCCGTGGCCTCGTTTCCAATAATCATGGGATACTGACCTCGCATTCTGTCAGTTTTTCTTTGGGATGAATGCTCTCTCTCTTCATGCTCTCTGAGACACAATGAGACATGTGATACAAACTGTCCAGATGTGATCTTAACCACAGATTTGACTATGAAATCTGCATCATTTTGTATTTTCAAATGGCTCCCAGTTGTAACTTAAAAGGACTTAAGTTAGAGCATCAAGGTGAACTCCTCACTAGGTCACAGTGTTTGCAGATGGTGCTTGACAAAACTTTCACAAAATTGTGCAGATCAGGAAATAATGATGGATGCCATCACTCATTGCATCAGGCGCAAAAGGTCATAGGCATATTTCCTAAGGAATGGCTGATGTTAGTCAGTTAATATCATTAACAGGAAAAGGGAAGTGTTGTCAGTAGGTGGTTTGACTCATAGGGATGAATATGTGTGGCAATGTGCAAGCACATCTGCACAGACCCCAGTGCCAGGAAAGTGTTCAGTGTGATGAGGAATGTGTGTTTGTGATAACACTGGTTTGTGCCTGTGGCTAATACAATTTGGTGCTCTGCATTGTGAGCTGAAGCAGGCCGTGACATTAAATCAGGATTATTTTTTTAACATACAACACTTCTGTGAGATAAAATTCAGTTGGGAGTAATTCAGTAAACATCCCTTGTCTTGTTAAATGGAACAATCGTAAGCCTTTAGTGAATGGTAGGTCAAGTAGTGATGGACCAGGGAGAAAGTCACCTATAAATATCCCCAGTAGCCATTTTGCTTTCAGCTATAGGTCAGGTGAAACCATTTTTGTAAATCAGAGTGTCCTAATTTGATGTTCTTTTACTTCTCCCAATCTTCTCTATATCTCTCATAACCTCCACATTTTGTCCCAACAGTCCATTTTATAAGCTGATGATGTGACTTTGCTTGCTGGTTGCTGGGTTTAACACCGTTTAAAAACACACCAGCACAGGAAGGGTTTGGACATTTTTATGATATTATTTGCTGCTGCTGGTTATAGGAATAAGATGAGGCTAACAGCAGCCCCCTCAGTCTGTTGTAACTGGGGTTTAATCTTGTCTCAGACAGCAAGATTTAACGGGAATCTGCTCATGGTTCGCCTGTAAACTTCTTGAATGTTTATTGTGGGAACATTTTTTTTTTTTTTCTCTGTGGCATGTTTGTATGAAACAAGTGGGAAATAAAATAAAGCATAGGTCTGTGACAGAGCTGCCTTCTGTTCATGTTTACAAAAAATGGATATTAACATGGGAAGAAGGCAAGCCAGAGTGTGAAGGTACAGTTTATGGCCAGAGAGAGAGAGAGAGAGAGACTGATCATCAGTCCTCATGTGTTGTATAAATATTTAATTTGGAGACGAGTTACCTCTGCATTGTTTGGCATTGCGCTGAGCAGTCAGTCTGGTACGAGCTGTGTCTCTGACAGGTTGGTGCTTAGCTGAGGTTAATCATTGCCCTTGCTTCAGTGCTGGCACTGTGGTGTAAGAATCAGATGTAAACAAGGTCACGCAACTGCTCAGTTTCAGCTGCAGCGCCGCTGTTGAAGGTGCTCTGTTGAGTTTTCTTGTGAACAAAGTTATGTTCACATCTTGTGTATTAAATGCACAGTGTGTATCTAGAGCTGCATCTAATGATTTAATTTCCTTATTGATCAGTCCTGAATTTACACTCATTTTCTGGATCAATTGGTTGTTATATTAACTTAGCAGAGCATGCTAACTGTATGTTAGCATTTTATATGTAACATCAGGAGGTGACACTACATTTGTTTTCTTATTAAACACACCTCTCTTTTAATTATACAGCATTTAAATACCTTTCAATATGCTGTCCATTTCATTTAAAGATGGATCAGTTATTTAAAATGCAGTGTTTGCGTCATGCGCTAGTGGCCCTGTGAGAGAGGGGCTAAACAGGAGAAGATCTGAATGTCTTGCCTATCAGGTAACAGTTACCACGGGCAGCGACTACAAGCATGTCGTGGGAGGAGGATAGTTTTTCTGGGCTCCTCCCTCGAGCATTTCATGTCCTATAGAAAAGGCATTGGGTTTAAACTACAACTGTGAGGTCCCCTCCCCAAATCTATGAGAAACCGCAGTGGAGAATGTGCTCACACACACACACATACACACACACTCACACAATCACTTCACACACTCAGTCCCAGTCATGTAAGTCAGTCTAGTCAGTGCGTCTTCCTGTTTTTCACTAGTTCCGTCTTTTCCAGTGCCGTGTTTGCATAGACTGGGCTGAGGAGGAAGTCTAGAAAAAAGGTTTGCCACAGAATTGTTAAAGAGGAAGAGAGGATCCACAAGGAGAACTTACAAGTACTACACTGAGGGACTGGAGGTTTTTGTTGGTGTAGTGTCATTTGACCCTTGCATATCTGCCAGACACCATGGGAGCAGAGGTGTTGTTGGGGTTAAAAGGAGCAGAACAATGCTTTTAAAAGGAGAGGACAGACAATCTGTGTGAAAGTCAACACAGTGTATAAGTAGAAGAGCTCCAACCAGACAAACCAGATTCCTCCATATGGATTTTTGAGGGAAACCCTACCCTGAAGCCTCAGAGACTGCTGAGGACTAGATGTCACACACAGACACTCTCACACACATCAGTGGGAGAGTAGAGGGGCTGGAAAGAACATGGAACGACTAAGAGGGTCTTTTCTCCATTTGACTTTTCAGATGTCAACATATAAGAGAGCCACACTAGATGAAGAAGAGCTGTTGGACTCCACCAGCGACGATGTCTACCCATCGTCACCCATGGAGGTAAACATGCAAACACCCTGCGCTAAAAATAAATTAATGGGATACTCAGGCCTTTTCACACTTTATAGAAACCAACACTGCTGTCTTTAGAAAATGTGTTTTCATGGGGGCTGTTTTGGAATATTTTACCTGAATGAAACATGGGACATCAAATACTACTAGGTTTAATGTCTGTCCTTAACTTGAGGGATACGATCTGTTAGCTGATGGTTGTGATATGTTGTTCAGACTTAATTCTGTCTTTTGTCATTGAGAGACAACATGTTTCTTTGGAGGCCTGAGCTTCAGAAAGCATGCTTATATGGTACAGAAACTAACATGCTGTACCGATGCTTCAAGTTACCCTGAGGTTTGAAATGCACAGAGAAGCTTAATGACTGTAGTGTTTTGGTTTGCTGCTCATACAGAACACACAGTAAATCACACTAACTGGGAGAGCAGTTAGATGAAAGCTTACATTTAAAGCTAACATTTCTAATTGTTGATCTTAGTCTAAGACCTTGATAATCTTAGCAAGATGAGCCTTACTTATCAAGTCCCCGTTTACATCAAGAGGACCTGACAACAAATTACATGTACAGTATAGAGCAGTCATCATACAACAGACACACTAACTACATCATTTAAATGTTGTTTATGAGATTACAGTCTGAAATATTTGCTGATTAACCTGAGGCTGCTGAATTTCTCAGAAATTCCAAGCATTTCCTCTTCTTTAAACACCATAATATACTTATCTCTTTGCCCATGCTTCAGACTATCCTGTTGTTAATTCATCCTAGAATAGGTGTCAATTAAAATGTCTTATTAAAGGGTACAAAAGTGGATTTCAAATCTTTTATAGACCGTTAGAGCCCTCTGTTCTGCTACCTCAGAACAAGGAGCTGAGATCCTTCAACCAGTCTTCAGATACTTAGTTTGGCCACATATATCTGAGTTCAGAGTGCTTGAATTCAGCACCGTTTTACTGTGGTTTTCAGGGTAATAGAATGCGGTTTCCAGAGACTGTGATAAATTACAGCTGGAAAGTGCACAGGCTTGGCACTAGGATTCTCTATTACACCAAACCAACCTTATATGCTGATCTCTTGGGATTAAGAAGCCACTGTGGCTTCAGCACTTGCATTGGTCGCATTTAGTTCGACTGTTGAACTCTCATCTAAGTTAACAGCAGTGAATAGGATCCTATTTATATACATTTACACTTCAGGGGTAATCCACAGGATGTATGTGAGGTCCAAGACCTGGCATTTATTTACAGTGGGGGTACTCAGAAACTAGCTATAGTTCTCAGTGTGGCCTTTGAAAGATTTGTGAGTGGCCCTTGGAATCTGTTCTGTAGGAAATCATTTCCTTGGCAGCCTTGGTATTGTCTAGTAACAAGAGGCAGGAGCAAGGTGTGCTGGAATAAAAACCACTGTTCCCATTATGGACTTTTCTCCAACTTACATATTCTTGAATGTTGATTTTGTGAGAAACTGTGCACAATTTATCTAGAGGTGACTATCTGTAAACTGGTTACATCTGTTTTATTTCTGCTCCACTTCATTTAGATGACCCACAAAGCATCAGATATGGTTCAACATGAATAGTGTCTTTTTCTAATTTGGGGCAAAGGGAAAATATCCTTTATAAGAGCGTGATAAACTAGAAGTGTGGGAACAATAGAAGAATGAGTAACCTTTTGTGTGCAAGCAAGTTGAGCGGGCCATGATGGAGAAGTCATTGTGCTTTTGAGGCCAAATCTGTCATCAAATCTCTGAGAAGCAGTTTGACTGTAGATAATGCTTTCCATGTTTTAAGGTAACAGTATTAAGTGAATATGTGTAAGCAACTGAAAGCTAATTTTAAGTACTTTTATATGTGTTGTATCTGGATTAACTGAAACTGTTGTATTTGATTTAGACTGTTAAATGAACTGCTTAAAGTGTGTTTTTTTTTTTTGTTTTGTTCTGTGTGTGTGTGTGCAGGTGACTCTTCTGCACAGCCGTGGGCCCACATGTTGGCCAGACAGGACACAAAGAGAGAAGAGGCTGCTGTTTTTAGTGTGTGTCACGTCTGTGGGTTTGTTCATGTCTCTCATCGCAATTGGGGTCTTCTACAAACAGGGTGAGCTCGAAGTTCTGCTTAAACACAATGGCATGTTAGCGCACGCTGAAAAGAAACACCTGCGTTATCTGTGAAGGATGAAGTAATTTAAAACAGTATTGTCCAATCAAAAACTAAGCAACCTTTCCAAAAATACAACTAAATTAAAAACTCGTGAACATGAGAAGGCTTAAAGGGATAATTTCACATTTTGGGAACGGTTTAGCTTAGCTTATCTTAGCTACAGAAATCAGTTCTTGGAACCAATTGTTGATTTTCTATTCTTTTGAGCTTTTTTTTTTTTTTTTGTTTGGTGAGTACTGATTCCATCATCAGAGCTGGTTGTGAAGTGAAAAGGTCACTATGTGGAACTGAAACTGTTTAATACACATGTCAAAAATGGGTCAGGGATATCACCCTGAGCAAAGAGGAGTTTTAGCTGAAGGGGAAAGACAAGTTCTGAAATTACAACTCCATGGTGAGAAATGTTTCCTACAAATTTCTACACTGAATGTGCACGTATCTGTTTACAAAGCCCCGCCTTCAGCTGAGCTTCCTAAAAGCAAATCCAAATTTCTTTCTTGATTTTGTTCACTATGGAAAAAGGGCTTGTAGATTTCCCATCACATCCAGGCGACGTCTCATCTGCCAGTGGTTGTCGTTTCCTCAAATTTACCATGGGAAACTTCATGCCACTTCCTCCCATTCATAACCAAATGTCAGATCACACTTTGAAATAATAAAAGGAACAAGGATAAATTCTCCTCAGGGTAATAACCTCATCACTTCTTGTAACTTTCTCTCCGTCACTGTTTCATACCCTTGTATGCGTCTCTACATCATCAAGGCTGAGTTGTCTCCTGGAATTGTATTGACTAGCACTTGTACCTCTCTAAACACACCGAAAGTTTTCTAAACCTCTTCCTGTTAAACAGTTTTTGTGTTTAGACTTTGAACAGTAACACAGAGCATCCACAAGCCTCAATGATGCCCCTCTACCTCTCTATTCTAGAGAACATAGCACACAAAATATCTTGGGAAACTCTGGGGAAAAGGTATTTTTGGACATCACATTTAGGCCCAAACACAAGCTAAAAAGTGATGGTATTTAACCACTAGCCAGTTGGACACTGTACCTTTTCAAAACAGAATGATTGACCTAACTCATCCAGGCTCCTTCACCCTCATCTCTTAATGTTTTCTCTACTTAATAATCAGTTGGCAGTAGTTAACATGGCATTGCCTCCTACAGTTGTCACCCTTCACATTTTAGTTAATTATTTATAGATGATTTTTGCATGGAGAAATATTCCCTCCAGGTTGTGTATGTTGGCTGTTACCTCTTACAAAATAATAGTTTCCAGATGGTCTGAAAATCCTCATGCATAGTTGGATGTCCCACCATGAACTATTTTCAGATAACCCATTGAGTGTTCTCAAAAATGTTTTTTACTAAGAGAAAGTGTTTGCCACATTAGATGCTGATAGAGCTGTGAATTTAATATGTTTTCCTTTTAACATTTTTTCAGCTCACCCTGGCTTATGCCTAACAGAACCATGCATCATTGTGGCCAGTGCAGTCACGGGTGCCCTGGACCGAGCCGTGGACCCCTGCCAGGATTTCTACAACTTTGCCTGCGGGGGTTGGTTGAAGAGCAACCCCCTCCCTGAGGGCAAGTCCCGCTGGGGACCTTTCAGCAACCTCTGGGAACACAACATGCTCGTAATGAAGCATTTATTAGGTGAGGGTCCTTGTTTGAGTTGCGTTCATTGTCCTCAGCTGCCTTTATGCCAGGAAAAGGTGTAGTGGGTCATTTTCCACAGCTGTTTGTTTTCCATTCCCTTTCATTGAATTTATCTTGCATCTTTATTTGGGCAGAAAACACAACGATGAAAGGTCTGAGTAAGGCTGAGGAAAAGGCCCAGCGATATTATCAGGCCTGCATGAATGAGGCCAAGATTGAGGAATTAGGAGCTAAGCCACTACAGGACCTAATCAGCCAGGTAGGCTTGTTTTCTAAAGTGGTTAAACATAGAACACATTCATCATTTCAGCCCGTCTTCATTTCCGTTAAAAGAATGCATTTTCTTGCATCCAGCAGTCTCTGAGCATCTGCTTAAACCTTTAGATAGGAGGATGGGCCTTGACCGGACCTTGGGACAAAGATAACTTCCAGGAAGTCTTGCGAACAGTGTCAGCCAACTATCGCACTTCACCTTTCTTTACTGTGTTTGTCAGCGCTGACTCCAAAAACTCCGACAGTAACATCATCCAGGTAAAACGGTGGGAGGTTTATATACAGGCCACTTTAATATTTAACTAGATTTATCTTTGTTTGAAAAGTGCTATATAAATAAAAATGCCTTGCTTTGCCTAGAAACATATATTTATATCTCAGAAGGTTCTCCATCACTGACTGGTATCTGTTCACATCCCAACAGACATACATTTACATTTAAATTCCCCCCAACTCAAACAGCTGCTATAGGTTTCCCTGAGAAGACAGATTTTATCTTTGATGATATTCTGTGGACAAGCCGCTCATAATCACCACGGTCTTAGATTCAAACTGACAGCTTGAAATTAGAGTCCATTCCTTTTGTAGGGCATCATGAGACCGCAACAAATGGTAAAAATATGATTTTTGGCAAGCCTCTGCCTTTAGCCTGCATGCTGGCAACACAGGAATGAAAACAAAAGGCTGTTTGTGATTTTTATGACGGTCATCGGATGTTTCTCTTGACTCTAGGTGGATCAGTCGAGCCTGGGACTCCCTTCACGGGACTACTACCTCAATAAAACAGCAAATGAAAAGGTACTGTACGTGTATAGTTTACAGCCTTACACTAGTTTCACAGAGGTTAAACTGAAAATTTGTGTACAGACGGTGAAAGTCATGAAATTGAAGCTAACAGTTTGTTAGCTAATCCAGAGCAGGTGTTTTCTGTAATAATAAAATTGAAAATACCCACATAGGGCTCCAGACCGCGTAGTGAGCAGATGCATTTTGCAACTAAATTACAGTAATTTAAATGCAACTGTCTTTTTTGGAAAGGTTGCACATGGTGTGACTGCAAAATAAACAGATCATCCACGAACAAACATGGACAGACCTCACGTTTATCTGCAGGTCTGTCACTCGCCTGTCTCACGAAGCAGATCTTCCAGTGTGCCGATCCACACTGACTCCGAGACACACACGTCATCCCTGGACCCCTTTTTTACACTTCAAGTCTGTTCTTTTCCTTTGGTGCGTTGGAAATGTAATCGCCACAGACAGCTATAAATCAGACATATCTGAGAAACCTGGCGGCATGTTAGCCTGGAGCACTGCCACATGCTCATTGCTTATTTGCAAACAAAGTCAAGAAATATTAAAAGAGAAATATTTCAGCTTCAAGGAAGAAACTCTGCCGAGTAGCTTGCATTTGCATCCTTTAGGATTATTTTCCTAGTTCAACTTTATTACACTCACAAACACATCCATTGTCTCCACAGCCACCCTCACATCCACCTCACTGTGCTGCCTGCTTGTACTTTGCAGTACCTGACGGCATACCTCAACGTTTTGACGGAGTTTGGGGTTCTTCTGGGTGGCTCTGAGAAGACATCTCGGGCGATTATGGAAGAGATCGTGGACTTTGAAACCACCCTAGCCAACATCACCATCCCTCAGGAGGAGAGAAGGGACGAGGAAGTCATCTACAATAAGATGGAGGCCAAGGACCTAACTGTGAGTGTCTCCTCGTTAAATAGTATCCCCTAACTTAAAAAACAATTGTATAAAGTACTAAAGCAAAACATTTTCTACAGCTGAAGACTGTGTAATCAATGTGACATGAATATAAATGTTCAAGTTGTGGGGCTGTCCTGTCTCTGAGTTTGTTTTTATGTGTGATTTATCTTTGCTATTGCAGACTCTGGCTCCTGCAGTGGACTGGATGCCATACCTCACAGAAGTGTTTGCTCCTGTGTCGCTCAACGAATCTGAGCCAGTGGTTGTTTATGCCAAGGAATATCTCCAGAAGGTTTCTGACCTCATAACTAAAACAAATAAAAGGTTGTATACATTCATCTTCACTAATACTGGCTGCAAATTTAACTCTTTGTAAATATGTGTTTATTATGTTGTTTATATGCGTATGCAGTACATATACGTACCTTCTCACCTCTGTGGGTGGTATGAATGTCTGTTGATTGCTGATGGAAAGTAGGCGAGTGTAATGAGGGTGGTAACGCTGGAACACAAAAACAGGGACCAGAGAGGAATATGGGACTGTATCAAAATAAAAGCTCTTCACAGGAAGTTCAAAGAATCACAACATTCATTACTGAAGAAAGCAACAACCCCTTTCTTTCCAGTCTACTCAACAACTACATGATAATGAAGGTGGTGAGGAAGATGGTTTCCGTTTTGGACCAAAGGTTCCAGGATGCTGAGCAGCGCTTCCTTGAAGTCATGTATGGAACCAAAAAGGTAAGAGATGAAGATTTAGGCCTTTTAAAATGACTTGAATCCAGCATGACACAGATATATTCAAACACAGAGGTGGGAATAAGCATATAAGAAGCAAATGAAGCAGCGATGCACTGTACATGTTTGACCAGATAATGTACTCTTAGCATGTTTGTGAACTGAATAGACCTACTGTGTCTAAGATGCAGTTTTGTCTTTTTTTTTTTTTTTTTTTTTTTTTAAATACTGCTTTTTGACTTCTACTATTCAATGTTTATTTCTTGTTTGGTACCAAGAAATGAATAGAACCACTAGGAAAATTCGTGTTGGTGTTTTGTGGCCTTTTAGAAGCATAGGAAATGGCCCAGAGTCAGACAGCTGGGTTTAGACAGCTTTTCGCTTGTAAGTAAATTTCTGCAGAGGATTGATTTTTACTGAATACAGGTAAGTGGAAGTGTAGGACAAAAAGAGAAGCTGAATTTTCCATTTACCGTGACAAGACTACAAGGACTGTAATTTGTCAGAGTTTTGTTGTAGGATTTATGTATAACCTGGCTTGTTAAACTTCATGAAACCTGGTTTCCCTAATTGGCAGTATCAAAGAAGTAATGTCCTTAACACAGATATATTTCTGCTGGAGAAACCTGGCTTCTTGGGCTATATGTGCAGTTGGGTTTCCAACAAGGTGCTTCTATTGTATGCATGACCCAGCACAGTTGCAGTGTCACAGCATGAATATTGTTGTGCCTCAAAAATAACTACCTGTAAATCCCAATTAAAACTAAAATAAATCAGTCTGAATAAGTTGTTTTCCGCTTTTTTGTAAATGCAGGCACTTGTTCGCAGCAGGGACAAAATGTGATTTTATGTTTTGATTTTTTAAAATATGCCAGTTTTGATTCAGTAATAGTAGAGAAAGGAGAAATCTTACACATTAAGTTGCACTTGAATGTGTTTTAGATGCACGGCATGAAAACTCTGTTATGTTTTCCTTTGTTTGCATTTTTTCTCAGTAAGCTGCTCTGTTGTTTTGTCTGTGTAAATGTACCATAGTCAGGTGGCATTAACAATGAGGTTAAACGGTTGGTTCAGGCTTGTGCCTAGCCTTGCAGATAGTTTTAGTCTGTCATGCCCAGGTTTAGAGATTTGACTTTGTGACTTTGGTCATTCCAGTGCGCTAGAGGTGGGTGTAATTTAATCTGTGGCCTTCAAGGCATTAAAACTTGCCATTTAAAAAAAAATCAGTATCGCATGTCTTTCCGCGAACACTGACCTGGTTAATCGAGATAATCCTCCTACTCCGCTGGGAGCTGTTTTTATTGGAAATCAGAGTAGAGTAGCACATTGTTTCTAGACAGGGATGCTGGTGTTGAGTTTCTTAACTACAGTTTTCCAGTGCAGTGAGTGGCTCAAACTAAATTCTATTGAGCTCCACTGTATTTGGCTGTAAACAGAAATCAGAGGAATATATCTTGAATCAACATTTAATCAAACCAACATAATCTGTATTCCAGGATACATGAGAAAAGGTTTTGTCTTTGTGAACTGGGCGAACTGACCCTTTAATGAGACACACAGATGTAGATGTTTTTAGGAGTGTGCTGAACTGACTCTGCAGCAAGTTCCACTTCCTTGTCAGTGGATAACTGACTGCGAAGGCTCCAGTGACTCCAGCTCTTATCTTAGTAAGATACTGTTCCACTGGCATTGTTTTCCGCTGGGGTCCAACTGTAATAACAAGCCTTAAACTTTCTATGTGTCTCTCTTTGTGTATCTCTTATGTGAGAGTGGAGCTGTGACTCTTTCCATCTCTGCCTATGTGCCTAAGTAGATTTTACAACTTTGCTTACTCAGAATATTCATCATGTCCTCACTGTGGCCTTGTTCCTTTTTATCTACATGCAGCTCAATATTTCCTTGTCCTTCCTTTCACCTGATAATTTCTGTGTGAAGATATGGAATACGGTTTTGAAAGGTCGGCAAGTTTTTGTTGGTTTTATAACATTTATTACAAATTAGAGGCTTTTCTAATCTTGTTGGGTCTTTGAGGCTCAAAGCGGTGTCAAAGAATAGTTCAATACTAAGCTTCTTTTCTGTCAGTTTCCACTGTGTTGCTGTTCTGGTAGTCTGATCGCTTGCGTAAATTCAGTTGGAAGTATAAATTGACCAAGAGTTGGCTTGTGTGTCCTGGTGTTGTCATATTGTCTATAAAAAATACAGCTCTCACTCTTTCAGAGGGAACATTGTGTCCTTGAGTCCTCAGAGGCGGTTC